TTATACTTAAACTCAACTCCTGTAGTTCCTGGTGTTTCAATGATGCGGATGTTACCTATTTTCATGAATAGTGGAGTTTGACCACAGCATTCGATTTCAGGGTCGAGATAGTCAATGACACATTGTTTCCCTGTTATTCGTGAGATAACATTTTCAAGGTCCTCCTTTGTTAGAATTATTTGGTTCTTGCTTATAAGATTTGTCAAAAGCTTCTTATCGTCTTTGAGTAAAATTGTTTGGTATAACTGAAGAAGGTAATGGTCTACGTTATCTGAAGGATTTGTTTGAACATTTGTGTAAGGGTTGTCGTTGGCTTCTCTTGAAAGAATTTGGTCCAGTGGTGGATACTCTAACTTAACATCTGATGTAGCGTTAGCGTTTGAAGCTGTGTTTAAATTCACGGATTTCAGCTCTGGTTTCTTTTTCTTTCAAACACTCTGAACTATAGTTCTTTATGACAATATTGTTTGTCGTTCGTGAGTCAACATTTGATGTTGGTTCAATTGGAACATTAACGGCACCAGCTAAGATGGATTTGCTTCTCATTTCATATAGAATAAAAACCTTTTATATGTATGAAATGAACAATATACTCGACAAGGGTTTGAATGTAAAGCTAACGAATGAAAATATTGTTGAATTCACTGAGACAGGAGCTGTGTATAAAGATGTAGAACTACTGAACAAAAGAGCTAAGGGAAGAAGCAGGAATATGAACAAAGGGTGGAAGCCTATAAAAATTTATGTCAATGATGGCTCAGGAGGTTCAAACATAAAGTATGCAGAAAGTTATAGAGTTTATGCTCTCAAAGGTGAAAAGCCTTCATTTAAGAACAGCTATTCTAACGCATATCCTCAAAAGCTAACGGATGGGGAAGTGGATGATATGAATGACAGCAAAAATATTAACAGAAATGGCGACAGAGATGCATGGAATTTGTTTACCATCAGTCAATTGAAGGTTAAACTTTAAAACAATGTTGGTCGTTCCCATGGAATGTTTTTGACTTTAATGGTATTAGTCATGATATGAATCTCAAGGTATGAACGAGGAGAGATGAGAGACTTATATGCTTCCCAAATTTCTTCAAAAGGTAATGTTATACCTGACTGTTTCCAAATGAGTTCAATATCATAGCGTGAGAAACCTTGAAAGATAACGAAGTCGGTTATGAGACGTTTTATGTTTAAAGCAAGGAAACGCCATGTTTGCATAAGTATTGCTACAGTTAAGTGGTAATGTCTGACTTTAGTTATGATGTTAGCTAATGGTGAGTCTGCTTTTGACACTAAACCTTTTCCGGCGAAGTCGTCACAAACGAGCAGAGTATTTGAAGGATACTTTTTGAAGGGGTATTTTGAAAGTTTTGACAGAATGTAGTTTGTCAGTCGTTTCATATCGTAAACTCCTGAGTATTGACGTAAGTGGTGTTTGTCAATAATTCTTTCCATCTCTTCTGAAGTCTTTTGCATTCCTGACTGTATGAACTCTACAATAGCATAATATTTTCTCTTACGTCGAATGTAACGTTGAAGAAATTCAATGAGTTCGCTATCTGGAACTTTAACGACAGAGGCTTGAACTTTTGACATAAATGTTTTCGCTGTTGAATCCATAGAGTCTGAAGTTGCTGATATAATGATTTGGTCATAGTAAGAGTCGTTTCCTAAACGCTCTGTTATGAGTATATGACGAATGAGGTTAAATGTCTTACCTGAACCCATCTTTCCACAATAGAAATACACACCATTTGAACAGAACTCATAGTCCTTACTGAAAGGAAGAATGAGAGAACTGTTGAGCTTTTCACTGCTTTCATTCATGTCTTCATCTACGTCATGTATTAAATGCTTCATTTTATCTTCATTAAAAATGCAAGTCAGAAATATTCAGAACATAGCACCGAGTCTAACTGACAAGAGTATAAAGATATACTATGAACACGTTATGATGAAACCTACCAAAATTCAAGAAAGTCAGTATACTTATGAATATCCAAGACACTGGGTAGAGTATGTAGGAGGTGAGAAAGCTATTGAAATAAGACAAGTTAGAAGTATTCCAGCAGGAAGAACAATATTATTGAAGAACTTTAATGTTTTGAGGTATAATGATGAAACAAAGAAGCAAGATAGTTTTCCTGTTGCTGTGTATGTGAACCTAGACACAGGAGATGACATGAAAGTTTTTAACACAAAGCTTCAAACGGTAGTGAGAGAACAACTGACTGCGGAAGGACATCCATTACCTTCAGAAGTTACCATAGTATATAATTTTGAAACAAATGCAATAGATTTTAAAGTCGTCTCTGCAAAGAAGTCAGGTTTTACATTTAATGAAGCAGATGTATATTCGAATGAAAACTTCAAAGCTATTGCATGGTTAGATAATGACGATTGCTTTAAGAAAATATTTAAATTCAGTGACTCAAAGATGTCAATAGATGACCTTCGTGGAATGTTACCATCGACGTTTACAGTAGAAGGTTCAGCAGGATTGCTTACAAGATTGTCAATTGGTGGTATTTGGTCTCGTGAGAACATTGTTATAAAATCCAGTATAAGTGAATTTGCTGAAGAATCTATATTATGTCTTTCAAACTACATGTATTCGCCACCGAAGCATTATAGTATAACAAACTTTGTCAGTAAGTTTAACATAAGACTTGTCGAACCTTCTTCAATGAAAGATGTTGTGCTACCTAAAGATGGAAAGGATGGACTCATTATTGAGATGATTTTAATAGCATATTAAATGAGCTTGTTCTTGAAGGTCATTCATGATGAAATAACTGTTGTAGAAGATGTTAGCAATTGTTCAGACATTTTGAAGCGTATAGATGAGATAAGAAAGAAGTTTATGAATGAGAATGTTTATGTTTCATTGACTTTCTCCAGTAACGAGAACTTTTATGAGATAATATTGAAGAGAGATGATTTTAATATGGTGTAAATGGTAGCTTGGACAGCTTTAGGCGCAATGGGAACAAAAGCATTAGCATTTGGAGCAAAAGCACTTGGGGCTTATGACGCAGTAAATAAAATGAGTGGAGGAAGGGTTTCGAAGACATTAGATGCAAATAAAGGGAAGATTGGAGGCTGGGTTGCAAAGAAGTTAAGATTAAATAAAATAGGGCTCATAAATAAAGCATCCAATTTGGTTGCGACTGAGTCAGAAAATGCTTTAGGAAAGGACGATGAGTTTGCAAAACACGCAAAAGACTTTAATGACCAGATGAAAGGTGAAACAATGCATTTAAATAGATTCGATGGAACTAAAGAAAATGTTTCTTCTCCACCAGTAGTTCTTCCGTATGGTCCCTATGGAATGTATGGAAATCCTTACGAAAGACCATTTGACCCATTGACTGGTGGAAGTAACTGGTATCATTACGGCCGAAGAAGAAAGACAGTCAAGTTGGAGACAGACGTGAAGAAAGCAACTAAAAAGAAACCAAGGAAGAGAGTTATAAAGCAATGAATTCAACAGGTTAGAAAAGAGGTTAGATATCGGGTTAGATCTAACCTTCTAACATAAACATTATTTTTGTGCTATGTTTTCATACGTGTGCGGGTGGTGATATCATTAATTTTTAAGTTTATTTTTTATTTTATTTTTATTTTATTTGGATGTAATGACAGAACAAAAGCAACTCATACAAATCAAAACATATAACAAACATACATTTAAACATTTATTCTTCCTTCCTGAGCATAACATGTTCTTTCAAATACATCCGAGACCAGTTGACTTTTCATTGACTGTTTATAAAGATAGAAATAGTTATATCATTAAACCATACGATGACGAAGGTAAGTTATGTAAATTGTACGTTAAGAAGTTAGAGAAAGTTTATGGCTTCAAGTATGACTACAATAGGGTTAACACTGATGATGAAGATATTGAGGAAAATTTATGAGAACATTAGTGAAGTCGTTAGTGAGAACGATAGTGAGAACGTTTATTTTTACATTAGTGAGTTCGTTAGTGAAGTGGTTGGCGGCTTTGTAAATATTTAAGGTTAAGTTAGTGTTGTCGTTTGTGTTGTAAAATACACGTTAACGGTTTTGTAAAGTGTCAAATTCACAAGTATTGGGTAAGGTGGAACGCAGTGCCACCATACCCAAGACTTGTATACTAACTATTGGATATGAACAAACCTCTTGCTTCCAGATACATTGTAACAAATGGAGTTCCTCCTGCAAGGCCCAATTTTGTCAACGACAAAGTCCTTACAGATCCAAATGTGATGATGCAAGTCTTCCAAATGGAATATGGACGCCCCATGCAGCAACAGGATTGGTATTTCAATCTGTTTGTGGCTATGCAATCTGTTTTGGCCTGGAATGGAGCATATGGCCAGGTTCTTAGTCGTGAGTTACATCTCCTTTATCCTACTGCAGGTGGATTTCAAAAAATCCAATTAAAATGATATAAAGCTGAGGAGCTCCAGGGTGAAGAGGAATTGATGAAGAAAAGAAGCAGCTGCATAATGGAGTGAGGAAGCATCTTGATGAAGAGAGGAAGCACCTTGATCAAGAGAGGAAGTACTTTGAAGAAGAGAGGAATCACTTTGTTGAAGAGAGGAAGCATCTTGATGAAGAGAGGAAGCACCTTGATCAAGAGAGGAAGCATCTTGATGAAGAGAGGAAGCACCTTGATCAAGAGAGGAAGTACTTTGAAGAAGAGAGGAATCACTTTGTTGAAGAGAGGAAGCATCTTGATGAAGAGAGGAAGCACCTTGATCAAGAGAGGAAGCATCTTGATGAAGAGAGGAAGCACCTTGATCAAGAGAGGAAGTACTTTGAAGAAGAGAGGAATCACTTTGTTGAAGAGAGGAAGCATCTTGATCAAGAGAGGAAGTACTTTGAAGAAGAGAGGAAGCATCTTGATGAAGAGAGGAATCACTTTGTTGAAGAGAGGTGTTGTAAACGAAAACGATAAAAACAGTTTGACAGAAAAGTGACAACTTTACATGTCAAAAATAGAAAAGTGACATTTATTCGGAATAAATTTTTTCAATTTCATCTTCTTCACAACTTTCTTCTTCGTATGGGCTTTCATAGTCATCACATTCTAAAATGTCTTCTTCGTATATCTCTTCTTCTTCACATTTTTCTTCTTCGTGCTTCTCTTCTTCTTCGCTTCTCTCTTCTTCTTCTTCTCCACATTCTAACTCTGGAATATCTTTAGCTTGAACAGAACCTGGCAAAAAGTCATATTCCTTATCATCAATGATCCATTTTGCCGGCATGCCAGGTTCCCATTTTGGGCCTTTCATCCACATTTCTTCAGGGCTATAATGTATAAGTTTCCCATTTACTCTGTGGGTTGGAAAAGCTCTATGAGGCTTTGTGTTGTATCTCATCACCCATGCGTGAATTTTGTTCCACGATAATCCTTTTTTCTCAATTCCAGGCCACAGCCTCTCAATTTTACCATTCTGATAAGGGCAATGAGGGGTAATGTATACATTTCTGATTCCTTTTACCCTCATTGCCCTCAGAAATACTCCCCGATTTTCCCTTCCATTATCAGACCAAATTGTGTGGGGCTTTCCAAATCTGCGGATAGCCCTCTCTACAACCTTCACAGTTTGTGTGGCGTGCTTTGAAGAAAGATGCTGCCACTCCATGACCAACCGAGTGGCATCATCTATTGCGGCGTAGAGGATCTCGTTCCTGTTCCCATGAAGGAAGTGTATGTCGACGTGCCAGATTTGATTGGGTAGGCACGCCACATACCGGGTTCTTCCTTTTGGCTTTCTGGGTCCACGCCGCTCCATCTTTCCGAGTTCTTCAAAGGCACGCTGAACCATATGGTGAGAGGGCATCTGAGGGAGGGGATCGGGGAGATACTGAATATTGAGAAGCTGCTGGGGATATGAAACTGGTGGATCATCGGGATTTAATTCACTGGGGATGTAGTTTGTGATATGGTTAAGCTGGTGCGCCCGATTAATGTTTTCGAACCACTGCCGCGTAGGTGTAGGATGGGGGATATTGCCAGACTTCATATTTTGAAAATCAATTAAATGGGATTGCGCATAAGCAATATCTGCTGTTAAGAGCTCATAAGTTTGGGAAACTCCATGACGACCATGCTGTTCGAATAATGCTAAGATAGTCTGCTTAAGAGTAGGAGGCACGGATCTCTTAGGCCTGCCAAGTTTTGGGTGAGGAGGTGGATTTAATTGTGCAGAATGTAGTGGTGCAACATCTTGATGAGGTAGGCGTTGTGGCTGGCGTTGTGGTGCAGCATGTAGTGGTGTAGTGCTTTGTTGTGGTCGCTGTGGTACAGCATGTAGTGGTGTAGCGCTTTGTTGTGTCGGGCGTTGTTGTGCATTATGTAGTGGTGTAGCGCTTTGTTGTGGTCGTTGTGGTGCAGTAGCTTGTTGTGCAGCATGTAGTGGCGTAGCTCCTTGTTGTGGCTGGCGTTGTTGTGCAGCATGTAGTTAGTATCTCTAAGTCGCGTACTGTGGCACTGCGCGCCTCCGTACACCACTTAGCGGTTTTGACACTTTACGAAACCGGTAACGTATATTTTACAACACAACCATAACACCAACTTAACCTTAAATATTTACAAAACCATCTGACACATAAACGACTTCACTAATGACTTCACTAACGAATTCCCTACCATCCTCACTAAATAAAAATAACCTTATTTTTATTTTTTTAAATTTTTTATTTCATTACAAAGACATGTCTGACTACATTTACTATGACTCTTTCCCAGAACCGTTTCGTACCGAAATGGCTAACAAAAAAGTGACAGAAAACCTTAAATTGCGCGGCAATTTTAATTAAAAAAATAAACATTAATTTTTGTGATTGATATTATGCATTTTATTTATATTATATAAGATTTAAATTTAGGGAAAAAATTGGAAAAAAAAATAAGATTGGAAGTCTTTAGGTAAGAAGGAAAGGGCAAGAGATATATAGTGTACCTATATACCTCTAATTAATATACATATATTGTGTACTGAGGCACTGCGCGCCTCCTTACACAATATATGTGAATTTGACACTTTACAAAACCGTTAACGTATATTTTACAACACAAACACAAACACCAACTTAACCTTAAATATTTATAAAGCCGCCAACCACTTCACCTCACTAACGTTTTCACAAACGACTTCACCACTGTAAAAAATAAACGTTCTCACTTAAAAAAGTATTGCAACTCCTCCCATTGCTGTGCTTCACACAATACTTCATATTCTTCAGTATCGCTGCTGTCGCTCCAATCGTCAGAGTCAAAATCACTGTCAAAATAAATGTTAGTAAGTTTTGACAAAGCTAATGAAACACGTTTACCGTTTGTATCGTATGCTTGTATAAACTTTCCATTCTTCATTCCTTCATAAACGCTCAAACTAACTTTACCCTTTCTCCCTCGTATCTGATAGAATGTATTTTCACGAGGAACGAAGAACAAGTTCTTGAACTCATGACCGTTGTAGTTTGTTATCTCAATAGTTTTCGTCATTTATATAAAAATAAACTTAAAAATTAATGATATCACCACCCTCACACGTATGAAAACATAGCACAAAAATAAATTTAGGTGAGTGGTGAAAAACCGGGTGAATTCATTGCTTTATAACTCTCTTCCTTTCTCCAACTCTTCTAACTTCTTCTTAAGTTCAGCAATGTTGTCCTCATGAAGTTTAATCTTCCTTAATATACCTTCTCTATCTAATGGTTGCTTTATCTTTCTAAACTGAACTCTACCATCCTTCATAGTATGAATGTAAAAACCTTCTGGAATAGTTCCTGATTTAATGTATTCTACCAAAAACTTTTGTTTCATTGCTTCAGTGACTTTATTTGTCATTTCAATCAAATAAAAATTTTAATATTAAATAAAAATAACGTTATTTTTTCAGTAAGGAAACGCAGGAGTTTTACGATTTATTTGAGGAGTAGGTTCTGGTTTAAATGTTGGAGTCGGTTTAGGAGTTGACTTTTGAACAGGAGTTTGTACTTCCATAGGTTCAGGAGTCATTGAAGGTGTTGTTTGTGAAGGCGTTGGTTTTGGCGAAGGTGTTGGAGTTTGTTTAACTTCAGCTACTTCAATATTATTTACAACATTTGCTTTATTTCTTTTCAACATCATAACTGCTCCTGCTGTAGCTAGCAAACCTAGTGGGAGACCATATTTTATATAAGGACTTGACCAAATGCTATTTTTGACAGGAGCTGGTGGAACACCTAACCTTGGTGAGACTGCTCTTTGCCATTGTGCAGCTCGTAAGAAATATTCAATAGGTGCTCCATAATCGTTTGGTAAAGTTTGTTTCATAGATGGTGAAGGTTCACGAGAGCTTGATGAAGAACTCATTTATAAGCTTTAAAAATAAACGTTCATCCTTTATTCCTCACTGTCGTCCGTAGCTAAGTTATAGTCATCTAATCTTATTATGGGGATGCCATTAGCACGCACCTGAATGGCAAAGCAACAATCCCTCATAAATCCAATAAGTGGCTTTGGTACATTTTCAGTTGCTAGTTCAATAGGTCCTTTAACAGACAATTTGTATGTTATTGGAGCAGTAGATGTTTGACCTTGCTGGAAGCAAAAGTCCACTTCTGTTGGAAAACCACATAAGAAATGTGTGTTGTCATAGCTATCCCATTTATGTTCCACACTACCATCATCCACCAATGACCTCATAACATCTTCATTAAATCCTATCATATCATTGTTTGTATTGCAGGCGTTCGCAACCATTTCATAAAATACAGGTCCATATGATTTTTCAGGTTCTGCAGGCATATTTCCATAAGCTCCCATGGAAAGCTGAAGATATTTAAACTTAGGGTTCTCAAAATTAACATAATAGTTGTCTTTCTTTCTAAATAGTGCCCAAATACTTTTAACATTAATAGGCGTATAAGCTGCTGTAAATGTTGCACTTGAACTATCTGTATTCTTTGAGAATGAACCGTCCATAGGAATCCAATCCATAACTTTAACAGGAAAACATAAAGCCTCGTTTGTATAATGTTCTACAAGTTCTGTATAAATGTTAGGGTCTAAAGAGAATGACTTTGGATGAATGAAACATTCATTAAAATCCATCTTTGTTCGAAATAGTTGCTGGGTTACAGTTGTAATAGTAACTGTTCCACTAGCTTCTACTGCCTTCGTTATCATAGTGAATGGTTCATTCATGAACAAATTTATTTGTCGGTGGATTTGAATCTGAAGCAAATGCAACTTTAAGAGTTGGATTGAAAGCAATGATATCATTTACAGATATAGATGTGCATTGTAAGGCCGTCGCTACTGAACTTTACTTTAAGCTGAATGTTTCCTGCAAAAGCTGGAATAAATCGAATAGCTTCTAATGGAAGGAATTTCTAACAGGAATTCTTAAACGAGCTTAAAATCAAATGATTTTCCTGCTGTAATTGGACCACTAACAATTTGTCCTGTTCTGCATGTTCCGAATGACTCCATACATCTTCATGTCGAGTCTTTGAGAAAACATCTACTTTCTTTATTTGTTCGGTAGTTTGTGAGTTTGAAGTTATATATGCTTCTTCTCTTGCGTTGTCTTGAGAATATACGATACGACCATTTGCAAGGATTTGATATCCAGCAACTGCATAGAAAGCGTCATCGAAACCAATCCAAAATCCTGGTGGGTTTGTTTTATTGGAACCTGAACCAATTTCTTTATCTACAATAAATTGACCTTCCATTTTATACGTAATGAATGTATTGTAAAGGTCCAACATATTTTCACCAGGAGGTGAGAGATTGAATGTTACCCATGTGTTATCTTTAGCAGTTCCAGGTTGTGATGGAATCTTTGCGTCAGAATATTTTCTATTAGTGTCACCAATTTGAACTGCATTGTCTATGATATCGAAATATGAGCGAATCTGATGAATATGCTCTGCTGGAGTAAATTCGTTTAACTGTTCGTTCTGCATGTATTTACTTCAGATAAAAATATCTATTTACTTCATTATTCTCACTCTTCTTCTTGGCATTCGTGGTGGAAGTTGTTTCTTGACATTTCAATGAACTGTACATTCTCTTTTGTCTCAACTTCTTTCACTGGCGGGTCAGGATTCTTTGACTCGGTTTGTTTTTCAATGAAATTCACGAACTTTGCAATAAGCTCTTGGTTCGTTATTGAAAGTACATCTGGCTTCTTTTCTTCTTGTTCTTTTGGTGGCTCAGTTTGAACAGAAGGTTTTATATGGGCTTCGTGGACTTCCCCTTGCCATACACCTTAATGTTGTCGCTTTCTGCATTCGCTAATGGAACCTTTCTTTTTCTTACGTATATTTTACCATCTTTACTCTGACTTACGTAATAGAAAGGATGTTGTATTCCTCTTGCGTCATTTAATATAATAGACTCTCGCTCTGATTTTGACAAGCTCATTTTACATCGGTTAAAGTTTTAATTTTGTTTTTTATCTGCAGTCAAATGACTCAGACAAGCCCTACGGACAAGACCCAAGGGGTCATAGATGTTGAAGCATTGAAGAAAGAAATTCGTGAGCAAATTTTATCCGAACTGAAGGAACAAAAACAAGAACAAAAGCCAGAGAGACCAAAGAGAAAACTTAGTGAAAAACAACTTGCTGCATTAGCTGCTGGAAGACAAAAGAACCCACTACTGGCGAAGAAAGCTAGAGAAGAAGCTGAAGCAAAAGCTAAAGAAGCTGAAGCAAAGAAAGAGTAAATGGTTTATTTTTATCGGAACTAAATGTATAGACAAATACCTTTATCTGTTGCGTTCAGTAGTGAAAACCCTGACGTCAAAATAAAGGGGAACAGAGTAACGTTTAAGTTTCCAACAGACTGGATTGTGAACATAAATGAAGAGAAGTACATTGGCATAACAAATATGTATATAACACGTGCTTTCAGAAAGGTTGACTTTATACTTCAAGTCGAGATAGAAAATGACGAACAGTCTTTAAGCGCCCAAAACATTCACATATACAAATACTTTAAAGACGATACAACGTTGAAACTGTATGATTAATTTAATGAGATGTTCGAGAAAAAGTTTCAACATTGAAGTACAAACTTTACAGCCTTTACGTGAGTTTCTTGCACAACTGAAAGAAGAAGGTAGTAGCCACAACTTATAGACTTTCATTATGAATTTTGAAAATGAAGATGGAACTCATGACTGTCATTTTGTATATTCACCATTCAATGAAGTCGCTAAAAGAAAAAAATCCATTACGTATAAGATTTCAAATCTCTGAACCAAGTGATGATTTCAAGAATGTTTTCAATTATGATGCAATGCTTCCGAGGAAAAATGAATTTTCAAAGATTGTAACAGGTATTTGGGATAGAAAGCAAGCTATATTATATTCAAACTTAAGTAAGGGAGTTGAAAATGAGTTCATTGGTCATACAAGAACTTCACCACTTCCTAACCCTAAATACTATAAATTA